GACGGGTGGCTGGGAGGCTACATGTGGCCTCCTCCCCTCCTATTGTAATCCCTGTAAAGCCTGCACTACAACCATCTGCACTGCACATGGTTGTGACAAGGCCCCATTCATTTGAATGGTCACCATTGGCACGGCCCACTGAATGTAACAGGGTATAATTTTTGAAACAGCATGTGCTTGATTAAAGGGGCAGTAAAAATACAGCTCAAGCACCTGTTTTTACAATCACTAGTGCAAAATTTTGTAAAATTACAATTGTTAAAATGTAATCATAGGGGGGATTTATCAAAACTGGAGCAGCCAGAAAGCTGTGCACAGCCACCAATCAGCTTCTATCTCCAGCTTGTTCAGTTAAAGTGTTACTAAACCCCGGACCCTGCATTCACTATATCCGGTCTCCCCGGACCCTGCATTCACTATATCCGGTCTCCCCGGACCCTGCATTCACTATATCTGGTCTCCCCGGACCCTGCATTCACTATATCTGGTCTCCCCGGTCCCTGCATTCACTATATCCGGTCTCCCCGGACCCTGCATTCACTATATCCGGTCTCCCCGGACCCTGCATTCACTATATCCGGTCTCCCCGGACCCTGCATTCACTATATCCGGTCTCCCCGGACCCTGCATTCACTATATCCGGTCTCCCCGGACCCTGCATTCACTATATCCGGTCTCCCCGGACCCTGCATTCACTATATCCGGTCTCCCCGGACCCTGCATTCACTATATCCGGTCTCCCCGGACCCCGCATTCACTATATCCGGTCTCCCCGGACCCCGCATTCACTATATCCGGTCTCCCCGGACCCCGCATTCACTATATCTGGTCTCCCACAGTACACAGAACAAGGAAATGCAATTATTGTAGTAAATATGAACTGCTAAATACCTTTAGTCAATAGCAGTTAAGAGCAGTCTTGTGACTTATATCAGTGTCCAGCCAAGCACTGATTAAAGCTTGTAGGGGGAGTTTTCATTCTCCTCCGACTGTCCTATGAGGCTGCATAACCCCTGACCCTCAAGGTCAGGACAGCGCTGACTGGCCGTGTGTTGATCACATGCACTCTCCCAAGAAAGAAAAAAAAAAAAACTCTAGCAATACACACTACACTGAGCATGTACAGCAACTCCTAGAGCTCTGTACTATAACAAGATGGATCGGGGGACAGTAGAAAAAAGGGAGGATCAGAGAACACAGGATCAAACAACCTTTTTACACAATGCGGAGGAATAACCCCTTAGTTTCCACAGCAACTGTAACAAGCATGCTTTACTGCATATACAGACTGATTTTACTGTTGTGTGTTTAGTAATACTTTAAGCTTTCAAAATGGACTATAGAAGCCAACTGGTTGCCTTGCACAGCTGCTCCAGATTGTAACCACTCAAATTCTGAGACATTCCTTTCATTGTGTTTTATCTGCATTTTCATGCACACATCTGCAAGTTCATCCCACTTGTTATCACAAGGTATTGAGGCCTGATTAAATGCACACTGGAAATAACACATTCAGTAAAGTGAGCGTGAACATAACCTAACTTCCATCTTTGTTCCCTTTGCCTCTTAAAATGTATTGATATCTAGGAAAATGATGAGAAGACATATGATTAGAAAAAAAATGGCTGCCTGCACAGCTCTATGACTCCACATTTTCCACTATAGTACAGGGATTGTGTTCAGCTGCTCCCATTTGGAAGTCAATGAGTAAGCACAATGATTGAAAAATACACTCTGGTTTATCCTGTACCAGTTTTTATCTCAGCAGTTATTCATCAGGTATGCTGACTGTACTGGTATACAGTCAGCCACCACAACCTTTGAAACAGTATGCAACATACAATCAGAAAATAATGACACAGAAAGCATGTAAACATGTAAGTCACAAAAAAATTACAATTTAAAAATGTGTACTCACAATCACAAGAAAAAAAAAAATACACTAGATTTTCCCTTTTTAGAGTGCATAGCGACAGTTTAACAGATATGGAATCTAGATGTAGCCGAATGCCAGCATTAGCCAATCAAGAAACTCTAGCAGTAGTAAGAGGTGTCTGGATTGAAAGCCTTTGTGCATTGGAATCAGAGGTAGATACTGTGGGGCTGATTTACTAAAACTGGAGTGTGCAAAATTTGGTTCAGCTCTGCAAAGAAACCAATCAGCTTCCAGGTTTTATTGTCAAAGCTTAATAAAACAAGCTGAAGATAGAAGCTGATTGGCTACCGTGCACAGCTGCACCAGATTTTGCACTCTCCAATCTTAGTAAATCAACCCCTGTGGTTATTGAAAAGAAGTACAGTATGCAAGTTGTCATTGTCATCTTGCTTCTAAAGGTACCAGCTTTGATGCTGTCATCCTCATCCTTCACTATAGTGGGAGTCACTGACTGGGAACATATATGGTCATACCATGTGTAAATGGTCATACCATGTGTTCCAACACACTTATTAAGCTGCATGCCTGTGACGCTGCAGTCACTCACTGTGTATGGAAGGATGGCATCACAGGAAAAGGCTGACATGACCTGTTTGCTGCTCTTCAATTGTTTTTTTTTTGTAGTATAGGTCAGACCAATTGCTCTAAAATTATTCAGTGTAGATTCAAACAATAACTGTTGCTAAAGCCCCCCAAGGCCTAGTACAGGAGACCATTCCCAGCTCAGGGCACAGCAGTCTTTAGTTGCAGACTAATGCCAACACAATGATACTTTCCAATGCATTTAACAAACTGAAAATTCCTCCATAGTGTTTGATGAGATGGAAAGTGCTACTGCACTAAACTACAATAAAATAGTTAAAGTCCAACTCTGGGCACAATACCTTTACCAGATAAAGTCTTCAATATGCTCCTTTGCCTAAAAAGCCCCTTCCCGTGATGTATGTTTCTTTTCTAGATCCCATAAATCTGCTTGTTTACATGCTGGAATTAGTACAGCTATCGTTGACCTTCTGAGCCACTCAGATGTAAGTAATGCAAGTCTCCTTCTAGTCATCCACAAAACAGTTTTCAAAGAATTATTTGTATATTCTGCATTTTTCACATTTGTGAAGCCCAGAGAATAAAGGAAATCAGGTGAGAATATTCAACAATGAACAACCCACAGCTTGTCACCTTCTATGGGACAGACAAGTGCAGGGTGCTATCTGAGATCAAACATGTTCAGATGGTCTGTTTGTTATGGAAGATCCAGCCACAAATTCTCAGAAAACTGACTGATTGCAGCATTTAACCTGAACAACCAGTCCATCCCATCTAGATAGAGAAAAAGGTTTCCCACTGCTCTTATGTCCCAATAAAAGTTAGAGACCCTTTCACTAGACCATTAATTTCAATGACCTGCCCACAAGATATGTACATTTAACATTTTAGGCATATCATTTACCTGCAAAAGCCTCCCTTGCATAGACATTTAAATGCTCTGAAACGGGTGGACTGACCATTTGGAAACTCGGGCACTGCCCGAGGGCCCGGGGTCAGTAGGGAGCCCCATGAGATGCCCCTGGTACCTTTTTCATAGACTTTTTTGCTTTTGGGCAAGGACACAGGGGCCCCATGATCCCCTATTGCCCGGGGGCCCCAAGAATTGTCAGTCCGCCCCTGCTCTGAAATTACTGCTGGGTGCTGCCATCTTGAATGTGATATCAGCATCCCCAGCAGAGACAGCTGTCACTCAAGTGACCTTTCCTTTTCACTTCTCCCTCGGCACCTATATAAACAGTTATATAGGTAGGTGAGGGGAGGGGTACAGCAGCTGGGCCAGCACAGAGCGTAATTTGACAATCCCAGAAGAGGAGAGGGCCATGACAAGAAAGGAAGGAAGGGGGGCTGTGATATGGAATTGACTAATCAGATTTTCTAGCAAGTTCAGAGGCACACTGCAAGTAAATAAATGATTTTTGGAAAGCGGAAACTCTACGAATACGTATTTAAAATGCTTGATTTTTCTGCTTTCATGCAGTTTTTAAGTCAGTGAAAGGGTCCCTTTAAAAGTGACTAAGTCACATCTGCTCATTCAAGAGAAAGTGATAGGTTTTCTTGCAAGGACTCCACTAGATGAATGGAGTGAGAAGAGCAAAGGTCTGCAATCTGTGTGAAGGGTAGGATGGGGCTTTCAAGAGAACCTGGTCACTTTGCCCTGAATGGACAGGTGACAGATTCCCTTTTAACAAAGGCAAACAATTACTGAGTGACCCACAAGGGACCTAGAAAATACATTTAAAAGGATAACTTTTTTTAAAATTCAAAACTGCATTTTTGTAACATTGTTATTCAGGACAAAGCCACTGCAGCCTTAGCTACATCTAATTAAAATATGAGTATATGCGTCGGGGTAGAGAAGAGACCTGCCAAAGAACAACTGCAGTCCCCCTCTGCACCATCACACATGCATCGACTCATCATTTTCTATAGCAGGTCATGTTCTGAAGCCAATGACCACGCTGTGTTCTTGAAATATGGCTGGAATATAAAAAAAGATGCTCTAAAGCTGACCACATAGCCAAAAACATATATTTACAAACATTCAAATATTGGATGTTATAGTTGTCATCATTTCTATGACCAGGGAAAAGGTGTTTGGGACGTTCCATTTAAAGCTCTATCCTTAAATGCCATCTTCGAAGGTAAATAACTTGCACTGTCAGTGAGTAGTGAAGAGTATATTACAGATACAATTTTGTTGTCTACTTTCTGTCCTAATATAAACTAAGGTGTTTCAAAAGTGGAATTAAAATCCAGCACGGCTGCCTCAGATCTGGATGGCAGAGCCTGAAAAGCCCTCGCCGGCAGCTTATGAAAAATACAATCTCATGTAGCGATAAAAGGATGGGAGCCTTTGAGCTGAGATGGGTAGGCAGAAATGAGGCAAATACACCAATAAGATCAAGCCCATGTTTACAATGTTTACATAAAAAAAGGAATAGAAAAAAAGTAAATAAGAAATATGAAGTAAATGAGATTAAGCCCGAAGAGGCTAAAAATGCCTATCCGTGGAACATCGTTATCCTTCCCGATCAAAGATTTCCCGGACTTTGACGAAAACCTGAAACAAAGTAAGAGGAAAGGTTTTAGTGCAGTTGGTGTGTATAAAGGTCCAGCTGTAAGTAATAATTGTCACTATAACCGTGATCTGCGGAAGGAGAAAGGTGGGGGAAGCAGGCTGTGTATGTACATGGTCCTTCCAGTAACAATGACTCTGTGTCTGGATTGTTACCTTCTCTGGGGACAACGTACTGTATGTTACATTTTCTAGAGTTTATTTTTTTTTACATACTTATCTTTTGTTTTTTGTATTTGGACCAAGATTTTAATGGCCATATGTTTAAAAAAAATAATATGTACAGGAAACCTTCATCAATAAAAAAAAAAAAATCTGAGTTAAACAAAAAAAACAAAACAAAAAACACACAACAAGCAAAGCTAAAGTAACAGCATTAACATGTATAAATGGTCCATATTGTGAACTTGGCTTAAAGTTATTCACTGTAAAGTCATCACAGAGGACAAGGGGACACTCTATGTTTGAAGGAAAAGAGATTTAACCTCCAAATATGGAAAGGCTTATTCTCAGTAATAGCTGTACAAATGTGCAATAGACTCCCTCTAGCTTGTTCTGGCCATCTCTGTAGACTGTTTTAAGAAAGGCCTGGATTCTATCCTAAATACGCATACTATAACTAGATACTAACATTTATAAGTAAAGTTGATCCAGGGTATATACGATTGCCTTTTGGGGGATCAGGAAGGATTTCTTTTCCCCACTGAAGCAATTGGATCAAGCTTTATTGGAGTTTTCTGCCTTCCTCTGGATCAACTGTGATTAAAGGGGTGTGCATATGGAGGGTGTGCGTGCGTGTGTGTGTTTTTCCCTCTGTGGGTTGAACTGGATGCACTGTATTTTTTTTTCTCAAACAGACCAGCATTCTCAGCCTTTTTTCAGTCAAGGTACCCTTTAAAATTATGGACAGTCTTGAAGCACCCCATCCTAAAATGTTAAAAACAATTCTAATAGGTTTATGTAACGCAGCAACATCCACACATGTAGGACACCCAACATTAGAGGTGATTTATTCTTCCAAAGCAAATACACCTTTGCATGCTGGTACTGACTAGTATTCCAATGTTTCTCTTCTCTCTCAGTTTTTCTCCATCACTGAGCTAATGTGACCCCAGCACTGATGGAGAGGGGCAGGGAGGGCCAAACTAGGATGCTGTGCAGGCAGCTGACATCCTCCTTATCAACTGATGTCAGTGGTTGTCAAGACACCAGCAGCTAGAAGATCGTAATGGTGCACAATGAAAACCTTTGGCTTTGTGTAACTAAAAGGCAGGATTCTTCCACCCGTTGGCTTGTATACAAGTTTTGGGCAATTTTTAGACGTTTTGCCAAGGCACCCCTGAAGAAACTTCAAAGCACCCTGGTTGAGAAAGGCTGAAACAGACTATGTAACTATGTAGCACTAGGGATATTGGACAATTACGGGCATGTAAACTCTATACACTTTTTTATTTGATTCAATTGGAAAAATATAAGTTGTGTGAATCTTAGGTGAAAACATTAATAAATATACCCTATAGTTTTAAAAGTATAAAACAACTCATGGGTTTGCTTCAAGGTCTTATCAAAAGGCACAGGAAAACATTGAACTTTTGTTACTATACCAGTCAATTCAGCTGACCTGATCTACAGACTTAGAGGCATCCACTTTCCGAACTTTTCCCCTCTGCTCATACTGATCGATGATGGGCCGGGTGGACTGGAGGTATGTCTGAATCCTGGAATACAAAGGAGACCCTCAGTGAAACTCACAAATGACAGGGTATTCTCTGTTCATTTATTTCTGTAACCTTTACAGAACCTATTTTTCAATATGGTGTACAATATTTTAAATGTTTTCTGCTGCATATTCCATGAAATTAGTTGTGTGTTTGAAAATAATCCATACATTAATTTTCTCCATTCAGGGCTTTTTCATAATGCTACCCTTCCCTAAACCCTTGATACATAGACACCTATAAGGAGACCTTCAACACTTAGGAGTCTATGTATAAAATGTAATACTGTAGGAACCTTAAAGTGGAATTCCAGACTAACATTAATCAAGCTTAAAGTGGTTGTAAAGGCTCATTTTATGTATGAAGGTAAAAAACTTCTGTCTGCAGCAGCCCCCCCCCCCCTTACATACCTACCTTACATCATCTTGATGCACAAGAGCCTCAGCTGTCCTTAGTCTCTCCCTCCCTCATTGGGCAAGACAGCAGCGGGAGCCACTGCCTCCCCCTACTGTCAATCACAGCCAATGAGACAAGAGTGGGGGGGCAGGACCAAGCCGCGTGTGCGAATAGACACACAGAGCAGCGGCTCAGGAGCAAGCCTGCTCAGGTGCCCCCATAGCAAGCTGTTTGCTGTGAAGGCACTTTGCAGGAGGGAGGGGCCAGGAGCGCTAGCAGGGGACCCAAGAGGAGGAGGATTTGGGCTGCTCTGTTCAAAACCATGAAACAGAACAGGTAAGTAGGGCGCATTTGTAAAAAAAAAAAAAAAAAAAAAAAGCCTTTACAATCACATTAAAATTGCTCCCACCCCTTCTTACTCCTATACTAACTACCCTGTAAAAGGAATGCATATATCTACCCATTCTCAGAGTATTCCAGTCTGTTCACATGACCAGCTCCCAGTGGCCTTTTGCCAGCTTCAGTGAAGAAGAAAGCGCACTGACAATGGATAGAATGCCTGCACTGTGACGTCACATAGGCTTACTAAGGGGCATCTCTTGTTGGTTGCCCCTCCTCTACACTAAAGCCAACACCAGACCAGACCAGGGCTTTCTGAGAATAGGTATGTGCATCTTCCTTCTACAGGATAGTTAGAACAGCTGTTAGAAGATAAGATGGGAGCAGTTCTAAGCTTAGTTACTTCTAGCCTGGAACTTCCCATTAAGCATTCGCACATCCACAAGGAATGAGCCCCATATTTTTTTGTAATGTGATTATTTCCTATAATAGTCCACTCAATCTAGTGGTCATAATGAGGTATTTTTCTGAAATATCTCAATAAAACTTAAATACTGCATTAAGGCCACTAGTGATCAATCATTGTGTCTATGCAGATGCTTAAAGCGGTAGTAAAGTCATTTACTACAAAGAAAATAGCTGGTCCCCTGGCAGGTTTAACCATTTCAATACCGTGCAATTTTCCCCCTTCCTGCCCAGGCCATTTTTCAGGTTTCAGCGCTCTCACACTTTGAATGACAATTGCGCGGTCATACAACATTGTACCCAAACTAAAATTTTATCATTTTCTTCACACAACTAGACCTTTCTTTTGGTGGTATTAATCACCGCCGGGGTTTTTATTTTTTGCTAAATTAACAAAAAAAGACCAAAAATTTTGAAAAAAAAACACACGTTTTTCTTTGTTTCTGTTATAAAAGTTTACAAATAAATAATTGTTCTTCATAAATTTAGGCCAAGATGTATTCTGCTACATGTCTTTGGTGAAAATAACCCAAATTAGGATGTATTATTTAGTTTGTAGGAAAGTTCTAGAGTTCACAAACTATTGGATAGATCTGAATATTGATCAATCCTGACAGCCAATCTAATTTCTTGAGGTCCAAGAAAGTCAGAACAGTACAGATATCCCCCAAATGACCCCTTTTTGCAGAGTAGACAGTCCGACGTACTTCATAAGAGGAATGGCGAGTTTTTTGAAGTTGTATTTTTTTGTCATAATATTTCGGAAAATGAAAAAATTAAAACAATTATTTTCACTATTTTTTTTTACATACGGTCACCAATGCAGTACAGCGTCATCATATAACTGGCATGGCAGTGAACAGGGACACTGACTGTTGACAGTATGAAAAAAAAAAATTTTTTTTTTTCATTATTTTTAATTTTTTATTACTTTTGTTAAGATTTTTTTTTCATATTTTACTATGACCAAAGTAGTACAATGTTACCATAGTAACATTGTACTACTTTGGGGAAATGATCAGTATTTTTTTTTTTTTTTAACACAATTTGCTTATAGCAAAGAATTACTTTGCTATAAGCAAGCATTTACCTGAATGACATCGATTCATTCAGGTTTTTTTTTTTCTTTTTTTTTGTGCTTAGCTGTGATTTGGCCACAGCTAATCACATGACATGAGCATGTGACCTGCTGTGACCATTCACAGCTAGGCAGTAGTATACAATGGATGGCATGAATGAAGCCATCCACTGTATACAACTGTCATGTGACCTGCTGTGATTGGTCACAGCAGGTCACATGGTACCGGCAACGGGGGCCAGTACTCAGATCTGTCATCGGCCGTGTCCGAGGTACACGGCCGGTGACAGGTCGCGCCGCTGCGCAGCTCTGCAACCGCGCGAACTGCGCATGTGCGGGAGGACACCAAATGGCATATACCCAGGAAGGCTGCAGCATTTTTGCGGCCGCCAAACGGCTATAGGCCGGGCGGCTAATGGTTAAGTCATAATGTACCAGTATGCATCGCATACTAGCGCATTATGACAGACTCACCTGCAAACGCAGCCCTCCATTGCAGCACGCTTTCATCTTTCCTGGTGTTCCTTCCGGGATTTTGATTTTCAGCCGCTTGAATGGTCGGGCTGTGGTGAAGTCATTCCTGCGCATGCGCACAGGAGTCACACTGCAGCGGCACAGAGAGCGGCAATGTGATCACATTACCGCTGACAGGCAGGGAGGTCATTTATGACAGATAAGACCACTAGGGTCTCTTCGGTTATAAAAACCCTACCTGTCAGTGAATTTTACATTCCAAGACTTAACTACCACTTTAAGATATTCACAAGGTCATTTTTTTTTTAATACATCAGTCCCATTAAAGTGTGTGCAAACCCTGAAAAATAAAAAACAGTTGAGGTCAGAAAAGTCAGATCTATTCTGAGGCTTGCGTACCCATTCTCTATTAGGCTTATCAGCCCTCCCAGGTGTTCTCTTGGACCACAAAATGCCTCCCCTTTGTTGTGGAAATTAGAAGAGAGGGAGGTTTCTGTGGTTCAGAGACAACTGAGCAGAGCGGAGACCATTTCCTCTAATTTCAAAGTAGGTGAGGGACTGTCAGCCCCATGGCAGGAAATTAGTAGAATTCATTTCTACCAGGATCGGGTATTCTTCTGTACTTGCTGGGTCTTTAAAGAGATAAGGCATGGGAAAATATGCATGAATTGCAGAGATCTTCTTCATAATTTTCTGGCATAGCTTTAAAAGTACCAGAATATTCGTTCTAAGCACCAAACTCTTGTTTCTCTTATGTTTTTTGACACTGAACTGCAAGCAATGAAAATGGCTGGTCCCAGAACAGGAATATTTCCTATTATGTATGACCAGCCTGATATATATTAGTCTTTTTAATTTATTAACCGCTTTCCTGCCGCTCTATAGCAGATATACTGCTACAGGGCTGCAGGGGGACGCAAAATCATGTATATATACAGGATTTTACATTTCCGGGTATGGGGTGCCGCTATTCACGGCCTTGGCTGTCAATCACTGGGTCCCGGACGGTGATTACTTGCCGGCACCCGGTGATCAAGGAGCATTACCAATGGAGGGAGAGAACTGTAAGTAAACAGTACAGTTCTCTCCCTTGTCAGATCCTGTATACTGTTATGCATAGCTTTGCACAGCAGAGCCATGCAAAGTAGTATGCTTACAGTGAAACACAGCACACAGTATAACAGCACACAGTTAACTCTTTGATCACCCCATGTTAACCCCTTCCTGCCCAACGACATTAGTACAGTGTCAGTGCTTTTTATTAGCACTGATCACTGTATTGGTGTCACTGGGGATGTCAGTGACACCAAGTCAGTTCCCCCCCAGTGTCAGACTCCCCGCCGCAGTCACATTAAGTTGCTGATCACCGCCATTACTAGTAAAAAAAAAAAAAAAAAAAAAAAAATCCCAGTATATATACCGCCATTTGTAGATGCTATACCTTTCATGTAAACAAATTAATTTACATGTATTGGGATTTTTTTTTAGCAAAGACATGTTTAATAGCAAAAAGTCAAAAATATTTTTTTTTTCACAAAATTGTCAGCCTTTTTCTTTTATAGCGCAACAAATAAAAAGACCGTACAGGCAATCAAATACCACCGAAAGAGAGCTCTATTCGTGGGGAAAAAAAGGACGTAAATTTAATTTGGGAGCAGTGCTGCATGACCGCGCAATTGTCGGTTAAAATAACGCAGCTCCGTAACGCAAAAATGGCCTGGTCAGGAAGGGGGGTAAATCCTCTGAAGAGCAAAAGGTTAATTTGAAAAAAAAAAAAAAAAAAAAAAAAAAAAAAAAAACACTGTTTATGCTTTGTTGGTGTCATATTCCAAACCCATTCCTAGAGAAGCAAAGAAGTTGAAATGTATTCCATTACCTCTTTTCTAAGCTCTCCCTGTTATCATCACTTCTTCCACTGCTCTTCCCTCGTTCCAAGCAGCGTCCAATGCAAGTCTGTAAATAAAGGGGGGAAAAAAAAAAGTATGAAATGTGATCTTCAAGAACATAAAATCAACAGCTTTGGTCATCATGTTCGTTACCTATGTGTTTGCTTTTATAATAGTAGAAATATCTCTTCGGAAGCACCAATTGTGAACCAGCTTTTGCAGCAATATTTAGCTTCAATCCAGAGATTTCCCCCTCAGGATTTTTTCTGTCACTAAACATCTTAAAGTGAAGTTCCAGTCATTTTTTTTTTTTTTTTCTTTTTAAAGTTCCTCCGTGACAGTCGCAGCTTATGCCATGCAAAATGGCATATGCTTGCAGATGTAATTGTTTGTCTTCCTTGTTTTTTTAAAGATACTCACTGGCCCCTCATGATCCTGTGTTCTTCCATCTTCACTGTGGGCATCTGAAGCCCAGACGCACTTTCTTCCGAGATACGGTGCAGCTGGCTACCCAGCATGCACCTCCTGATCTTGCGCCTGCACAGTGAGAAGAAAGCACAGCGCACACATTGCAGAGTGGGAGATGCCCATTGACTTCTGGGATTGATGACACATACATCCCAGGAAACAAAAGGCAGGAAGATGTGACGTATTCGCCGCGGTGGAGGTACATCGGAAGTGCAGTGCTTCAAGTAGCCTAAAGGTATGAAAACTTTAGGAGAAAAAAAAAATGTGCCCAACATTGAAGGGACAGCAGGAAGCAATACATGGGGCCAAACTAAAAATTGGGTGGAACTCCACTTTAAGTCTGATGGCCAGCACCATTCAACCCACTTTCCCTGGCCCAGGTCCTCTTGGACTCTTCCATAGCCTGTGACTAGACAGTCAAAAAAGCAGCACTGTGATATGCTCATCTGGCAGTCTGCTTATTTTCCATATTGGATAGAGTAAGGATGGGTTATAACCACCGTCAGTTATTTTTTGCCATCTGTGCCCCATTGTGGAGATTTCCCTTTACTTCCTGCCCCATAGCCAAACAGACGTGAGAGGAAGACCCTTCAGTCTGAGGGAAGCATGGTCCCCAGGACCATGAGAACTAGCATTCCCATTGGAAAATCTATTTCTTTTCTGGGGATGACCCAAAATGTGAGACTTTTTCCTTTTGGTGATAAAAGAAAAAAGAAAAAATATAGAAGGTGAATCTCCTGGACGAGGGCACAGACAGCAATAAAAACTGACAAGCCTGTAACCCCTCTCCACTCTATACAAAACTATGAAGCAATTTTTCCAATTCTGCTGTGGACCTGTTTAGTCAGCAATAACTTTGTCATTACTTAACCAATTCAATACTGAGCACTTTCACCTCCTTCCAGCCCAGGCCAATTTTCAGCGCTGTCACACTTTGAATGGCAATAGTGCAGTCATGCAACACTTTCAACATTCAATTTTTATCATTTTGTTCACACAAATAGAGCTTTCCTTTGGTGGTAATTAATCACCACTGGGTTTTTTTTAGTTTTTTTTGCTAAACAGAAAAAAGACTGAACCCTTTGAAAAAGAAAAAACAAACAAACAACAAACACATTTTTCTTTTTTTCTGTTATAAATTTGGCAAATAAATAATGCTACATTTCTTTGGTGAAAATAACCCAAATTATATAATATTTATTCTGTAGGAAAGTTATAGAATTCACAAACTATGGTACATATCTGAAAATCGATCAATCCTGATGTACTGACAGCTTATTTCTTGAGGATTGAAAATGCCAGGACTGTACAAATATGCCCCAAATGACCCATTTTTGGAAAGCAGACAGTCCAAGGTATTTAGTAAGAGGCATGGCAACTTTTTTTTCTTTTTTTTGCATGATTTGGTTTGTGAACTTCACTGGTATAAGCAACCATTTTTACTGATTTTTAATTGATTAATTCAGTGTTTACTATTGTTGTTAGCTGTGATTTGCCACAGCTAGTCACATGGTACAGATGGGCCCTGTCTGTATCATGTGATCACTGTGACCAATTACAGTGAGCAACACAATAGAACACAATGGATGGCAACAGCCGGTACACTAACCAGTCATCAGCTGCTTTCGGTGCACACAGAGGATGACAGATCGTGCCACAGTGTGGACTGTTAGTAGTAGTGCCTCATCAATGCCCACCAGTGCCGCCTCATCAGTGCAGCCTATCAGTGCCCATCAGTGCAGCCTATCCGTGCCACCTTGGCCTGGGCACAAAGGGGGTAAAAGTGCTCGGTAGGCAAGTGGTTAACTGCAGATGAAAGTTCATAGAGAAGAAGGGAGATATCTTTATTAGAATAGATGAGTGGAAATATCATCAATTGAAATGTTTTATTGGAAATCTCCCGAAAACCCCTGAGATCAAAACAGGAGTGGAATATGTTTGAAAGGCTGTTAGAAACACGAAGGGATGGGAAGCACGGTATTTCAAAAACCTATAGAATACTCACAGAATTAGACACAAACACAAAGTTAAGTTTTATAACAAAATGGAAAGGGATATGGGAGTTGGGTTTGACGAGGACAAACAGAGAAAGATGTTTAGATTAATACACGAGAATGTTAGTATGAGAGAGGTTGAGATTAATTATAAGTGTGTGACACGATGGCACATTACACCAGTGTTGAGCACAAGATGAATGGGGAAAATTCAAAAATGTGTTGGAGAGGATGTGGAGAGATAGGCACGATGTTTCACATATGGTGGGAATGTCCGAAAATCCAGGCTTTTTGGAAGGTAATAGTCAAACTGATTGAAGAAATAACTGAAATTGACATAGGGTTAGACCCAACGACGTGCCTCCTACATAATGTGGAGATATCTGTAAATAAATACAAAAACTCAGGCGTCTGGTACTTCTTAAATGCGGCGAAAGGGTTGATACCCAAGTTTTGGCAGAAAACTGAGGTACCGAAGGAGGAAGACTGGATTAGTAGAATAAACCAGATAAGCAGAATGGAAAGATCATACCATATGCAGGAAGATAGCATGGGAGTTTATTATATGAGATGGGAAAAGTGGGAAAAAGCAGGATTGAAAGAGAAATATAGGAAATTATGAACTAGGATGTTAGCTAAAAATTAATAAGCCTCAATAGATTAGAACGGGTTAGAGTCTGCAGAGGGGGGAGAAGGGGTGGGAAGGGCTGGGGGGGGATGGGAAAGAAAAGATTTTTTTAGAAGGGGAAATGTAGAAATGTTATAAATGTCTATTTATATGTGAATCAGTTCCCTTTTTGGGTTTTTGTATTAATATGAAAAATTTATTAAATATTTAAATAAATAAAAAAAAAAAAAAAAAAAAAAACTGCAGATGAAAGTTCATCCCTTTGATCTGCAGATGAATGAACAGAATAGATACAAAAGTAAAAATGTTATTTTGTGTCTTTCTAGTTGCCCTCTGAACAGTGTTGATAAAGTCAGACCGCAATTTTTACAGCTGCAACACCCCAGAGCTGCTCTGTGTACACAGCAACTCCGGCTTTGATTAATCAAACCCGAGAATTGCTGTGTAGTGGGAGAGGGATTCCCAGCAGCAAGACAGAAAACACTGGATGCCCTGTGTAATATGATGACTTTTTTGGGGCATGTACAGCATGTCCACAATCTGGAGCTAGTTTAGCATATATCTGTCTCCTCCACAGAAACCGTATATCATGTTGTATTTTAAGCATTAGGCAGGTGCTTCGCTGCAATTAAAAAAAAAAAAAAAAAATCGGTTTATATAACCAATATAAAGTTATATTCAGACTCCCCCTTCATTAAGACTTCTGCAATAACAGCAATCCCCAATGAGTTTGCACAGGAGACATGCTAATCTCTAATTTACCAGCGAAATATATCATTAGTAAAGCTGTTTTGCACTGTTCAAAGATTCATACTGAGCTGCATATCTGGTATATATATGTTAGGAACTGACCCTTCAGAGTGAATATGTGTAGGCAATCAAAGCATATCGAAAACAGGTAAACTTCCCTTCATGTATAGGAGTATCGACAACAGCCTGTATACACGTCTCTCGATTTCCTTGGCGTTGCACGTGCACACAATTATCTCTGTATGATAGAGCACTCCCACTGAAGATACATGTCCCCGCTAATAGTATCAAACAATAGATATCCCACCGTAGGCATCTCTTGGATAATGTGCTCTGTACTCCACATTCAGATGCACTGTAGCAGATTCTGCCAGTAACAGCGGTGAGGGTCCCACACCAAATGAGTCAAGCTTCGTATTAATGTAGTACCTCAACAGCCATCCAAGTGCTGATAATCATCTAACTGGTTTTGCTGGCCCACTACAGCTTCCTCAGAGGTGTCTAGAGTTCCCGTTTTTAGGGAGCGGTGTTTGTCATAAAGACGTCTGTCTGTACTGTGCTGACAAATCTCATCTCATCAGTTGTTTAATAGATTTTAACACGGTCTGTCCTAACAAAGTGTTTATGTAAACTCTTGTAAACAACCCATTCAGTCTAAAAAAGAAATGAAAGGCAAAACATTTGTGTATACATATATAAAACAAAAAACTTTTCCCCACTTTTTTTGTTTCTATAACTAACCACATAACCTCTGTTCTTAGCCATATAAGGAGCTTAGAGAGCTGGAGGAGGAGAAACAGCAGTACACTGAAATTCCCAGTGGATAGCTGTGTAAACGCGCACGGGGGGCGGACGCATGTCTGCAGAAGTCGGATCATTGGAGGAGAGCGCAGCTAAGGAACTGACTGCTCTCATGTCTAGTGTGGTCAGTTTTTTTTTTTTTTTTTTTTATAGGACAGTAGAGGGACTGTCAGGAACACCAAGGATTTCACACAAAAGAAGCAATGCAAAGAGAACAGGATACTTTTTCATACAAGTACATGGTACAGCAGGTACATAGCAGGAATATGAAATGTTGGATTGACATATTCTTTAACCACTTGAGCCCAGACAGTACAAATACACCTAAATGATCCCTTTCGGAAAGTAGACAGTCAGGTATTTAGTAAGAGCCATGGTGCAATTTTTCCTCACAATTTTTTGGAGAATGAAGAAGTTAAATAATTTTTTTTTTCATACTGTCCCCAGTGCAGTACTCTGTCATCATATGACTGGTGTGGCAGTGATCAGGGATACTAACTGGTGACAGTAGGTTATAAAAAAAAAAATATATATATATATATATATATATATATATATATATATATATATATAATTTTGTTAACCATTTAATTTTATTTTTTTTGCATATTTTCATAAGAGTAGTTCAATATTCAACACTAACAGGTGATTAGGGATTGTTTTTTTTTTTTTTTTAACACTTTGACATGACAGTTCACTATAACAGCAATGTTTTGAACAGTCATGAATAGGTTACATTGATAACAGCTGTGATTTACTATTCTGATCTGTGATTGGCCACCAGCTATCAAATGGCACCGGGTTCTGTGACTGGCACAGGTACCATGTGATAGCTGTGGGCCAATCACAGCTTACTATAGAAAACACAGCTACTATGAATGAAATTCAAATCGTATGGGAATACGATTTCCTATGAAATTCATATGAATGAAATTCATTCAAAACAGCTTTTTTGACATTGTGATCAAGTGATCACATACCGATCACATGATCTTTCAGCCGAACAAAGTGGCCAGGTACCAAAAAAAGCAATCTGCTGTGTCCTGTGGACATAGCGGTGCACCCAGGGGGCACGCAAGTGTGCATGTGTTAAGCGTCATACAGGCAGATCACTTATCCTGTAGCTGCTGCCCACTGCAGTTTATGTACTGCGGGAGGTCGTCAACTGGTGAAGATTTAGAGGATGGACTTCTCAACTGTACGTTAAAAAGAACGCACTCATCCTGTCCTAAGGCTATTAGCACAGATCAGAGTGAACTTGTTGAGAAATACTTGCAGTCAGCCATGGCGCCTTCTCCTAAGAAACATCTAAAAAGGTAAGAATTATAATAATTTATTTCCAAGGTATGCTGTGTGAAAGGAATACTAAGCCGTTTTCTAAAATTTGTCTGCAAAAGTGGAAATACACTTTAATCATTTAGTAAACTGACCCAAATTTGGGTTAAAGATAAAACCAAGGTAGTTTGGACACAAACCCTGTGATCCCTAGTTGCCCTGAAGCCTCTCTATGTAATTGTCAGGTCAGGCTGTACACTTACCTCATTATCACAATCAAAGAAGAGGACAAAGGACACATCTGCCTTTCCGTCCATTGTTTTGTCCCAGCCCAGCAGATTATCCTCATTCCTTGGGAAACCGTCAATGAGGAACTTGTTCTTGTCAGCGTTGGCTGCCATGGTTTGTTCCATTGCCTAGAAGGCAAACCAGAAAACTGTAAGTGTTTGTCATACAGATTACCCTAAACACAATTAACATATTTAAAGCAAGTATTGGAGTGTTTGCATACAAATTAAATCATTTGGTTTTGGGCAAGGGAAACAGATGCAAACAGTTATGATAAGGCAGTGCTCCCCATTTTACCTTCACTGGGTGGTAAAGATTCAGCAGGTTTCCACTCCAGTTTTTTTCTACTTGTTGATCCCATTGTCAGTGAATGACCGTTTTATGTATCACTTTCAGTGACTGGTGATGATTTCATTTTTATCTGCAAGGGCAAAGCTATGGGTTTCTAAGCATTAACCACTTGCCCTCCTGAGGATTTACCCCCCTTAATGACCAGGCCTCTTTTTGCTACTCGGCGCTGCACTAATACAACTGATAATTGCGCGGTCATGCAATGCTGCACCCAAATGTAATTTACATCCTTTTTTTCACACAGAGCTTTCTTTCGGTGGTATTTGATCACCTGTGCGCTTTTTATTTTTCACTTTAACAAAAAAAAGACCAAAATCTTGAAGAAAAAACAATATTTTTTACTTTCAGCTATAAAAAATATATAGTAAACTCAAAAAGTTAGTTATAAATTTAGGCCAAAATGTATTCTGCTACATGTTTTTGGTAAAAAAAAATCCCAATAAGTGTATATGGATTGCTTTGTGTGAAAGTTATAGCGTCTACAAACTATGGTATAGATACTGCAATTTACGCCATTTTTTTGCTATACAGCGCTGCACTAGTTTAACGGACAATTGCGCGGTCATGCAATACGGTACATAATTTAAATTTACATCCTTTTTTCCCACAAATTGAGCTTTCTTTTGGTGGTATTTGATCACCTGTGCGGTTTTAATTTTTTGCGCTATAAAAAAAAAAAAAAAAAGGCTGACAATTTTTAAGGAAAAAAAAAAACAATATTTTGGAATTTTTGCTATAAAACATGTTCAGTAAAAAAAAAATGTAAAAATCAAATTTAGTCATAAATTTCTGCCAAAATGCATTCTGCGACATGTCTTTGCTAAAACAAAATCCAATACGTTTAAATGAATTGGTTTATGTGAAAGTTATAGCGTTTACAAATGGCAGGAAAGATACTGGGGTTTTTAATTATTTTTATACTAATAATTGCGGCGATCAGCGCCTTATGGCGGCGATCAGTGACTTATGGCGGGACTGCGGCGGACATTCTGACACGGGGGGGAACTGACTTGGGGTCACTGACATCCCCAGTGACACCAATACAGTGATCAGTGCAAAAAAAAAAACACTGACACTGTACTAATGGCACTTGGGAGGAAGGGGTTAACTTTATTATTCAGTGAAAGGGTTAACTGTGTGAGGGGAGTGTTTTATTAGGGGAGGGGGGGGTGGGGGGAAGCTGATTGGGAGAGATAAACTCTTCTCTCCAGCTCAGCATGCCAGGAGCTGTCAGGGAACTGACAGAAAGCACAGCTACTGCAGCTGTGCTCCCTGTCAGTGATTGCCGCTAAACGCCGGGACACAGCCGGCTGTGACCCGGCGACTGACATCCGCGGCCATGATCGCGCGCGCCCCTGTTTTGAAAACACACGTGGTTTTGCCCAGCCATGCCACCCTGCCAACGTATTTCTACAGTGGTTGGGCGGCATGTGGTTAAAAGTCATCTTTAGCCTGGCATAGTATATTAAAAACACATATTAAAGCGCAGTTCCAGTCACACTGTGAAAAAATAAAAGTCAGCAGCTACGAAAACTGTAGCGGACTTCTAAAAAAAAAAATAGCCACTCATCTGTCCCTTGATCCTGCAGTGTCCTCCCCGCAACCGGTTTCACAGCCGTCCGGTTTTCCTGGTGCTGGCATCTACAGTGTGCCCACTGCACGTGTGTGAGTAGCGCTGTGCTTTCTGAATGGTACCGCACTCTTCTGGGGAAGGACAATTTCAGCTTCCGATCGCCTAGGCAATCGCAGTGAAAGAGGGAGCGGGTACCTGTCATTTTCGGGTACCCACTCCCCAAAGCTGGCAATCCTTAATGGGGAGCAGGGGACCAGTCTTTAAAGCGGAACTTCCTCTTTTTGGGTGGAGCTCCTCTTTAAATGACATGACTGAGTGGCACTGGCGGACAGACATCCAAGGTTGTGATTTATATTACTTCATGCTAGCGGTTACCATTACTTTGATAATAAGGTGGGCCCCCCACAATATTTCCTTATATTTTTTTCTGGACTAGTTTGTGTGCTTTTCACAATTTTTAAATTAACATATTGCTTTGGGTTGTGCTGCTCTTAGAGAGGCATACAAATTGCTCCACATATTCCGGATTGGCACATCAGAGCTCCCTTATGATTGGGATTTTGGGTGATGACAGGTATTGATATACTTGTGACTGTGAAATTGCAGAAGTGAGGGTAGGCAGGTAACATCATCTTAGCAGGTTTGCATTGCAAATACTTTCCTCTTAATTTTCAGATGAAAAAAAAAAAAAGAAATAAAAAAAAAAAAAAAACTGAAAACAAAGTTGTGAAACATATACCCATTTATTGCTTTAAATTAGCAGTTGCTGTTTTAAAGTGGTTCTAAAGTCTACATTTTCTTTTTACCTTAACATTCTCTGCATTAAGGGAAAAACAAACTCCTCACAAGGCTCCTGCTGCTGTCAAACTCCTGGAGCGGGATCATGGGTCTATGGATACACAAAGTGTGGCTCGGGAGCACACATGCATGGGTGCCCCCTTAGCTCCCAGCTTGCTGAAAATGCACCTGGAGGCAGGAGGAGTGCACAGTGCCGGCAGGGGAATGTCAAAGAGGTAAGGGACCACTCTGTGAAATACCGTTGCACAAAGTAAGTAGACTTGAATATCACTTTAAATTGGTTCTAAAAGCTGAAGGGTTTTTTGTTACTTTAACCACTTCCCGACCGGCCATTGTATATAAACGGCCGGACGGTGGCACTGCAGGGTCGGGTGGCAGTCTATAAACGGCCTTCCCGCACCCTGCTTGTGCGCGCTCCCTGGGAGCGCGCAGCACCGCGATCCGGTGCCCGCTGTGTCCTCTGGACACAGTGAAACACCGATCGTTGGACGGGACCTCTGTACGAGGTCCCGATCATGTGATCACTGATTGGCCAATCAGTGATCACATGCAAAGTAGTAAGCAAGATGTCACTTCTGACATCATTGCTTACTATGTGTGAAATCTGTGAATGATCACAGAGGTCACATGGTACAAGGCTATTCACAAAAGCCTTGTACCATGTGACAAGCTGTGACCAATCACAGCTCACTCAGTTCTTCTCAATGAGTGCAAGAATGCACACAGAGAGAAAGAGAAATGATTGCTTTTACATCCTATATGGGTGTAAAAGCAATCAGTGTGTAAAAAAGAAAAAAAAAAAAAAAATCTTCATCACCCCTCACAAGTAGTACAGTGTCACCATGGTGACACTGTACTGCTAGGGTGACAGTATGTAAAAATAAAAAATAATAATATAAAAAAATAAAATAAAAATGTAAAAACAAATGTTTAAAAATTATAATTTTTGCTTATAAACTAATTTGGATTTTTTCTTTTTACTAAAAAGATAATGGAATAAATTTTGGCTAAGATTTATGATGAAATATTATTTATTTGCAAAATTTTATAAAAAAAACACTTTTTTTCAAAATTTTTGGATATTTCTTTTACATAGCAAAAAAAATACAAATCCCAGCGGTGAATAAATACCACCAAAATAAAGCTTTATCTATCTCAAAAAAATGGTAAAAAATTCATTTGGGTACAGTGTTGCATGACCGCGCAATTGTCATTCAAAGTGTGATAGCGCTAAAAGATGAAAATTGCCCTGGTCAGGAAGGGGTAAAAGTGTCCGGTCTGGAAGTGGTTAATGCATCTCTTATACTTACCTGAGCCTGATGCTGATCCAGTGTTGTGCCCAGGAGCAGCAGCTGTCTCTCTCCTCGTTGGCTCAGAGACAGTAGTGGGAGCCACTGGCTCCAGCTGCTGTCAATCACAGCCAGTGAGGAGGAAGTTGAGATGTGGGACCAAGCTGCGTTCTGTATCTTATGGTCACACAGAGCTGGCTTAATAGTGAACACGCACGAGTGCCCCCAAAGCAAGCTGCTTGTTATGGGAGCACTGGGTGAGCAGAGCAGCCAGGAGTACCAGCGGAAGACCCAAGAAGAGGAGGACTGGGGCTGCTCTGTGCAAAACCATAGTACTGAGCACGTAACTATAACATTTTTGTTATTTAGAAAAGAAAATATGGGTTTACGTTAGGTTTCTCATAGACCTAATACTAAGAAAGTGGTGTGTGTTTATATGTGTGCATCTAAGGGGCCACCAGAGAAGTATGAATAAAAAAGGGATGACAGGCGCACGGAATTAGCAGTTCACAATCTCTAGGAGGAGTGTGGGGTCAGGAGCTGACGGGAGAACATATGGTCTGGAAACAACCAGCGAGCTGTGATAGGGTGAAGCAATGACTCTGGAATAGACAAGAAGGGAAGCACAGCGCCTCTAAGTGTTTCTCTTCTTGCCACCAGAGAAGTAGCCTAAGAGGTAAGGTGATAATGTTTGGGAACCACTAGTCTACCTCTGTCATAATGTATGTCAAACCAAAGCTGTATTCTTTTTTCTGGAGAGTGTAGGTGAGGGTGCAAACACCTGCTGGGTTATTACTGCTATCTGGAGCTCAGAGAGAATTCCCCTCCCTTTCCTGCTGACAAACATTTTACCAGACAGGAAGGGAGGGGAACCCTCCTTTTTTTGTAGTAGGGAAAAGCTAGAACCTCAGTCAGATTAGTTTCTGTTTGTATACCTCTTACAGATTTTTCTGGTATAACCGTTGACATCAGGTTAGAATGTGAAGAACCCCGAGATAGCAATAAAAACCAGACAGGTGCCATAGTCAATCTCATCTATCTATTCTACAAAAGAAAAAAAAAAATTGGTTTGACATACACTTTTTCCTGTGCAGGATCTGCTCTGATACAAAGTGGAACTGCACTGCATCTAAGCACCACAAACCAAAATGCTATTTAATTCATTTTTAACATTCAAAGCAAACTCTCCCATCCATTCATGCCTCCATGCTTTATATTGCTGAGAAATCATTTTGAAAAAACACCCCCTGGAATTTCTGGGACTGGCCATGTTCAGTAAGGGCAGATGATTCATGTATCATTACCTGGAATCAATCTGCCCTTAGCTCAGGTATAGGCTGAATTGAGTACCCTCCCTCCTCTCCTGAAGACTGCTGGGATGTATGACATCATTTGCATAGGCATGGAAACCAGAAAGTAACTGAAGAAATGTAAAAAAAAAATAGTTTAAAGCAAGTAAATATGATATACTTTCCTTTCTATTTACTAATGGTAGCAGCATAAGGATTTAAAATAGTCCGTGTTGACCGACAGAGTACAGTTCCACGTTAAAGACATTTTTTTGTGTACTGTGCTAGCCAGGAAAACATTAAGAAAATATGAGCCTGTACAATACAGTAATATATTATGAAAGTTTTTACTGACAGGCTCACTGTAGAAGCATGCTCAGCTACTATAAAAAGCACTGTGGAAACAGGATGTAAGTGCGCTGGGAATGGTCTGCAATGAGCCGTGTAACTCAGCTACTGCTCAGTCCAGGCATGAGCAACCAAGTGTTCTCACACAACAAAAACTGAAATTCCCAGCATACCTTGGTAGATCCAGAGATATACACAGCTGAATTATAAAGCAAACCTCAGCCTTTGGTTTCATTCACATGGCACAGCAAAAAAAAAAATAAACAGGGCCCGTTCACACCTTCATTCAGTGATCCCATTTAGGCTGCCATTGCAATGTGTGTGTGCGTGTGTTGTACCATTGCAATTCACAATAAATGGTACCACAACACACCGCAGAAAGAATTGGTCCTTTGAAGTAACATTAATATTACTGCTATATAAAAGTGTAAACAGGGTCCAAGAATAGCAAGTACTTGTGATGCTCGCAAACTCAAGGTCACTAGGGAGTTAATAACAAATATCCAGTTGGAAAAAAAAAAAAAAAAAAAGGTCCCCATTCTTAATTTCAACCATACTCTTTACACATTTTAAACCAGGGGTGGGCAAACTTTTTGACTTGAGGGCCGCAATGGGTTCATATATTGGACCCGGGGGCCGGACCAAGAGTAGATGAATGATGTGTATGTGTCATCCATAGTAAGTATAGTAATATTCCCCCATATAGTAATTCATCCCCCATATAGTAATTCATCCCCCATAGTAATTCATCCCCCATATAGTAATTCATCCCCCATATAGTAATTCATCCCCCATATAGTAATTCATCCCCCCATATAGTAATTCATCCCCCATATAGTAATTCATATATAGTAATTCATCCCCCATATAGTAATTCATCCCCCATATAGTAATTCATCCCCCATATAGTAATTCATCCCCCATAGTAATTCATCCCCCATAGTAATTCATTCCCCATCATCCCCCATAGTAATTCATCCCCCATATAATAATTCATCCCCCATATAGTAATTCATCCCCCCTATAGTAATTCATTCCCCATATTAATTCATCCCCCCTATAGTAATTCATTCCCCATATTAATTCATCCCCCATATTAAGTCCCCAAGTCCCCCGTGTCAATTCACTTACCTTTGCTCCGCGCGTTCCTCTCGCCATGTTCCCGCGCCGTTCCGATGTAGCATGAAAATCTGTCTCCTATGAGGATCTGTCCCCCTCGACGTATCTGCGCATGTGCCAGTTTCAGGCATTAGCAGCCGATCAGCGATCTCCGGCACATGCGCAGATACGTCGAGGGGGACAGATCCTCATAGGAGACAGATTTTCATGCTACACCGGTCTTCAGGGCGGACTGTGAGAGGAGCCTAGCGGGAGCCTAGCTCCGCGGGCCGGATTAAAAGGTCCGCCAGGCCGTATACGGCCCGCGGGCCGTAATTTGCCCATTGCTGTTTTAAACCAAGCTTACCCCAGCAGGTCTTCGATACTGCAGAGGACAGTGACGTTACGACACTGGGACTGATCTTTGTAGCATTCTACTGTTAACCCAGATCAATGTAGTGATGCATCATGCGGTGTGTCCACAATGGCCTGGGTTCATAGAAGTGGGTTGGAGAATAAAGACCAGGGCCAGATGATAGAGTGGCGAGTCTGGTGGGGGCAGCACTGAAGACAAGGCGAGTATTGAAGATACAGCTACTTTTTAATTTTCTAACATCCCTGGCAATTTATCTTCCTTATATTATACTGAAGTTCTTCTTTAAATCAAACTGCAGAAAAACTGTTAAATGAACAGTTAAAATACATATCGGTTTACCGTTTCACCTTCTGCACAGAAAATTCTGTCATTTACACATATTCACAGCACCTTAGCTTCCCATATCACTTCTCCACCCCCATATGATACAGTAAATTGTTATGACCTCTAACAAAAATGGTTAGTCAAGATTACGAATGATTGTAAAAAACGGTTTAAAGTTGAATTTCAGGAAAACACAAAAAAAACCAGTGGGGCTGCCTCTGCACTGCAAAGGGTTAAATGCTCAATTTCACCTAGGATACAAGAAGAGAGGACGTTTACTTACGTTATTCCCTTGCTCCCACAGGCTCCTCCTATAATGCAAGTGATCCCCAGACACTGCTTCCCTAAAGCGCTCTGGCCGGTAGTCTCAGCTCTGACTTCATACAATGCAATGCTGCACTGTGAGGGCACAGAGGGCCATCCACAACCTAGAGCGCCTGAGAGCCAGCTGCTGGAGGAGAGAGCACCAGCTGCGAGGGGAGCAAAGGATAACGTAAGGAAAAGAAAATTTTACTGGTACCCTAAACAAGAAAAAAAAAAAAAAAAAGCCTTTAATGCTTGCAGTAAGGGAGCTCCACTGCAAGAGTATTTTTCTTTTCTCCTCGAGTTCAGCTTTGATTTCAACTGTGAATGTAGCCATTTGCCTGGATTTCCATGTTTACTAGTGACCGGACCATTTTGTTTTTAAAGCATTACTAAACCCAGGACCCTGCATTCACTATATCTGATCTCCCACAGTACACAGAACATGGACACAAAAATGCAATTATTTTAGTACATATAAACTGCTAAATACCTTTTTTCATCAGCAGTTAGAGCAGACTTTTGACCTCTATCAGTGTCCAGCAGAGCACATGTTAAAGTTTGTAAGAAGAGTTTTCTTTCTGCTCTAGGAGGATGCAAAACCCCTGACCTCTGTCTGGACAGTGCTGATTGGTCCTGTGCTTATCACATACACCCTCTCAAGAAAACAAAAACCTTTCTAGCAATACACACTAAACTGAGCATGTGCAGAATGGCTATGGTTCATTCTGACTTATCAGAAGATAAGATGTGGACATTTCAACAAGGGGAGAGGAGAGAAGACAGGATCAAACGGTCTTTTTATACAATGCAGAGGATTAACCCCTTAGGTTCCATAGTGAGTACAACAAGCATGCTTTACTGCATATACAGACTGATTTTACTGTTGTGGGTTTAGTAACACTTTAACACTAACAAAATTGTCCCTTTTTTAGGGTGCTGGGTGGAGGTTAATATGATTGGCTTAATTTTTACCATGGCATACAATTTTGTATTTTTGCTATGTTGCATTAGGTCCTAATTAAGCATTCTACATTTTTATTTACACTACTTGGATTGGACCATTGTTTTTCTAGAGTTCTTTCCTAGATTATTTTTCATTCATTCTGTTTGGGTACTTGTCCACACAGTTATTTAGTGAGTTAGTGGAATATTCAATTTCTAGCCTCTATCATTGAATGTTCCTGTTCACAGTGACATTGTCGATTTTTTTCCATCTCCATGTTCACCCCTCTCTTCCACATTATCACACCTTGCTATTACATATTAGGTCACTTGGCATTAGACCTGGATTAAGGTGCAGAGAATTCTCCTTACCCTTTTCAGAAGGCTGATTGTAATCTCAACTGGAACGATCTTCCCATCCCTTATGTAGGACTCAATAAGCTCTCCATATTCAGAATCTGGTCTCTTCCTCTCATCCCGAAGCAGATCCCCAGCGGACAGGTGGGTATAACCATATTTCTGAAAGGGAGAAAGTGACACAAAAAAACAGAAAATATCAAAATAGTGTATAAAAAAAAAAGTAAAGCACAGTAACAATTTAGACATTTTAAAGATCTAAATTCATTATAAAAACTTTGCCGGTATGCTATCCTATCACCTCCAAATGCTATGCAAGTATTAAAGGCTAATGCTGGGGAAACTATCTTTTTTTTTTTTTCGTTAAACCCAGCGGGCTGAACGGAAAGAAAATGGAGAGCTTAAGAGGAGCTCGCCGCACTAATTGCCCCCCTGCCAAAACACACTGATCAGTGCTGCAGCCATTGGCTGCCAACACTAATTGGCTGCCAATCAGATGCTGGTTTTCAACCACGCCCGTTCCAACAGAACCTAGTTTCTGTTAGACAGGTAAGTGTACACACAGGCCAAATGTCGGCCGGTTTCTATTGAACCCGGGGTAAATGTACAGGGCTTAAGTCCACTTTTAAAAAAAAAAAAAATAAAAAAGCAAATATTCTTACAGGAAAAAGGTGGATTGATTCTCTTCACAGGAGCCTGGAAAGCATTGCACCTGTGATCAGCGGATTACCTGTGCAATGCCAGGCTCCTGCAGACTTTCTTCAGCTACCTGTCCAAATCAAAGCACAGGCTTTATGTTGAAGAGCTGGAGGAAGTGCCAATGGACTATAAGAGCAGTCATCACTGTATTTGAATTCCGCTGAGAATTACACCACCATAGCAGACAGGACTTGTGGTTCATTCATTCATAGATCTCTGTGAATGATGTGGCTGTAGGGGTGGAGCTTGGCACCATGTTACACCTTATATACAGGTATAACATGATGTAAAAGGTGTAGTTAACCTTTAAACAAAAATGTTTTTACTGTAATAATGACTTTTCAAGTAGAGATCGCTGTTCATCTTTCTAGGTTGGTCTCTCCTATTTGTGGGACAACATACATACATAACATACAGGTGAAACTTGAAAAATTAGAATATCGTGCAAAAGTTCATTTATTTCAGTAATGCAACATAAAAGGTGAAACTAATATATGAGATAGACTCATTACATGCAAAGCAAGATAATTCAAGCTGTGATTTGTCATCATTGTGATGATTATGGCTTACAGCTCATGAAAACCCCAAATCCACAATCTCAGAAAATTAGAATATTACATGCAAACAATAAAACAAGGATTGTACATAGAACAATATCGGACCTCTATGAAAAGTATAAGCATGCATATGTACTCAGTACTTGGTTTGGGCCCCTTTTGCAGCAATTACTGCCTCAATGCGGCGTGGCATGGAAGATATCAGCCTGTGGCACTGCTGAGATGTTATGGAAGACCAGGATGCTTCAATAGTGGGCCTTCAGCTCTTCTGCATTGTTCGGTCTCATGTCTCTCATCTTTCTCTTGGCAATGCCCCATAGATTCTCTATGGGGTTCAGGTCAGGCGAGTTTGCTGGCCAATCAAGCACAGTAATCCCACGGTCATTGAACCAGGTTTTGGTGCTTTTGGCAGTGTGGGCAGGTGCCAAGTCCTGCTGGAAAATGAAGTCAGCATCCCCATAAAGCTCGTCTGCGGAAGGAAGCATGAAGTGCTCCAAAATCTCTTGGTAGACGGCTGTGTTGACCCTGGACTTAATGAAGCACAGTGGACCAACACCAGCAGATGACATGGCTCCCCAAATCAACGCAGACTGTGGAAACTTCACACTGGACTTCAAGCATCTTGCAGTGTGTGCCTCTACATTCTTCCTCCATACTCTGGGTCCTTGGTTTCCAAATGAGATGCAAAAGTTGCTCTCATCAGAAAAGAGGACTTTGGACCACTGAGCAACAGACCAGGTCTGTTTTTATTTAGCCCAGGTAAGACGCTTCTGACGTTGTTTGTTGTTCAGGAGCGGCTTGACAAGAGGAATACGAAATTTGAAGCCCATGTCCAGGATCCGTCTGTGTGTGGTGGCTCTTGATGCACTGACTCCAGCCTCAGTCCACTCCTTGTGAAAGTTCCCAACATTTTGAATGGCCTTTTCCTGACAGTCCTCTCAAGGCTGTAGTCATCCCTGCTGCTTGTGCACCTTTTTCTTTCACTTTTCCCTTCCACATAACTTTCTATTAATGTGCTTTGATGCAGCACTTTGGGAACATCCAACTTCTTTTGCAATTACCTTTTGAGGCTTTCCCTCCTTATGGAGGGTGTCAATGATGGTTTTCTGCACAACTGTCAGGTCTGCAGTCTTTCCCATGATTGTGATTTCTACTGAACCTGACAGAGACCATTTAAAGGCTAGAATATTGTACCTTTTCACAATATTCAAATTTTCTGAGATTGTGGATTTGGGGTTTTCATGAGCTGTAAGCCATAATCATCACCATTGTGACAAATAACGGCTTGAACTATCTTGCTTTGCATGTAATGAGTCTATCTCATATATTAGTTTCACCTTTTAAGTTGCATTACTGAAATAAATGAACTTTTGCACGATATTCAAATTTTTTGAGTTTCACCTGTATATGGCTACTGGATGTGAAGCACACATTGTGCATTTGGAGCGGACATGTTATTTTACAGCCAGTAATGATCATTTCATAAAAAGGGGGCATTTCTTTAGGGACATTGCTTCCAGATTGGCCTCTCTTTTGTTCTGCATCGTTGTTAAATTCAGACTAAGAGGAGTTTTCTTTTACAATGGATATTATTATATACAACACAACAACAAAGAAACAGTCAAAAGCAAGATCACAGACACAAAAGAATAAGGTATATAATTCTTCTGATGAAGGATATAACAAATGCACTGAAGTATTGACAAGGAGAGAAACTGAGTACATAAACACAAAACATAAAAAGGATGGAATGAAACCTTATAAATTGCGTTAATAGCAAACAAGTAATGACCAATGATCTAGTAGGCGAAGGCGAAAGATAATCACAAAAATCGCATACAGAGGAGAAGAGGAGTTTTCATGTAACTGACAGGTGAGAGCCGTCTTGATGTCCTAGATGCAGACAACATGCTGACATTCTCTGGTAGTTGCTGCACAGAGCACTTAGGTGGCACAGCTTTGCATAGTACAATGACATGAAGAAATTGTGCTATCGCAATGAAAGAAGAAGGTCCAGCAACATTGATACAAGGGATTGTTTAGCACTTCACATACCCGATTTTAAAACAACCATCCTATTCCTTATCTTCTAGTCTGGCACTGTACACTGAGCTCAGTGCACAATTTCGGTATCTGCCGAGATGAATGAACTCGCATGAGTAGGTGTGATATCATCTCAACCTGGCCAAGCAAAAAAAATTGAAGTTTGGAAACCCAGAAGACTGAAAACGTCAGCGGCTGGCTCTAGGGCACCATCACTGGAGTGGAGGAGAGTATAGTTCCACTTTAATAAGACTAGTCTGAATAAATTGTGTGTTGGAAAAAGCAACTATCTTCAGCTCGCATTTGTTTACAATGCTCTATGTAGAAAGCATGGCTTTAAGGCTGGAAATGTCTAGAATTTCTTGTATGTAACAGAGAATCACATATATCAGATGGTTGGATCCAACTGATAGGATTCCTAAGTATGAAAGGTTGTGTTACAACATGCAATATGCAGATATACAAGAAAAAAAAACTATATATAGTTAGTTTCTCAGCAACTACAGTAGAAGAAAAACACAATACAGCTGGGAAAGTCTGCTTCTGGTATACAGGGCAAGATATAGGACATCACTCAGCCACGAAGTCATGCCGTACAGATGCCCGATAAATTACATGGAGGTTAGCAAGGAAATAAATGCTGCCCATTACAGACTGACAAATTCAGCTGGTTCTAAGCCCAATCACTAAAATCTCAGAAGCTTTAACATGTTTATGCAATCTCAGAAGTTCTTTTAAAGCTGAAGGTTTGTCCTGCCTATATTTTGCCTTCCCTGGTTCCTCCTTTCCCTTCTCATTAACATAACGAAGTTATTAATAAAAGCTGCTTTCATTACAAACCTTATTTTAGACCCAGTGATGTCATCAATGGGTCTCTGTGCTTCTCTATACAAGGCACTCAAATAGAGGTTGGTGGGAGGGACTGGCAGAGGTTATAAAAACACTCCATAGGAGAGCGAGAGAGACAGACAGCTCAGCATAGGAGAGAGAGAGAGACAGACAACTCAGCAAGGGGCGAAAAAGAGTGAGATGGTGGCTCAGCATAGGGAAGAGAGATGGCGGCTCAGCACAGGGAAGAGAGCGAGCTGCGAGAGACATGGCGGCTCAGCACAGGGAAGAGAGCGAGCGCGAGAGACATGGCGGCTCAGCACAGGGAGCGAGAGCGAGAGACATGGGCGGCTCAGCACAGGGAAGAGAGCGAGGCGCGAGAGACATGGCGGCTCAGCACAGGGAAGAGAGCGAGAGCAGATGGTGGCTCAGCCTAGAGAAGAAAGAGTGAGGCAGATGGTGGCTCAGCCTAGAGAGAGAGAGAGGGAGATGGTGGCTCAGCCTAGAGAGAGAGGGAGGGAGATGGTGGCTCAGCCTAGAGAGAGAGGGAGGGAGATGGTGGCTCAGCCTAGAGAGAGAGGGAGGGAGATGGTGGCTCAGCCTAGAGAGAGAGAGAACGGAGATGGTGGCTCAGCCTAGAGAGAGAGAGGGAGGGAGATGGTGGCTCAGCCTAGAGAGAGAGAGGGGGGGAGAGATGGAGATGGCGGCTCAGCCTAGAGAGAGAGGGGGAGATGGCGGCTCGGCCTAGAGAGAGAGAGAGGGAGATGGCGGCTCAGCCTAGAGAGAGAGAGAGGGGGAGATGGCGGCTCAGCCTAGAGAGAGAGAGAGGGAGATGGCGGCTCAGCCTAGAGAGAGAGAGAGGGAGATGGCGGCTCAGCCTAGAGAGAGAGAGAGGGAGATGGCGGCTCAGCCTAGAGAGAGAGAGAGGGAGATGGCGGCTCGGCCTAGAGAGAGAGGGAGGGAGATGGCGGCTCGGCCTAGAGAGAGAGGGAGGGAGATGGCGGCTCGGCCTAGAGAGAGAGGGAGGGAGATGGC